GCGAGTCGTCGCGTGACTGACGGAATGCGGCCGCCGCCCTCTCTCCACTCGCCATTAATTAATAATTTTCTGCTACCAGTGTCCGGTTTAGTAGTAGTAATGACATTTTGAAATGTAAAAATACTGAAAAGCAAGGGATAAAGATGGAAAAGATTTTTGTGGAGTGTATTTTATACCTTCTACAAAAAGTACAAATTCAATCTTTTTTTTTCACCTTACGCACACGCGCGTGCCCCAGATCCACACTACTGTATTTTTTCCCCTCCTGCGCGTCGCGGTATAGAGTGATAAGCCTGCGGGGGTCGTAAACGGGCCTCCCAAAGTGGCCGTGTCGCCCATCGCCTTTACGTCCGATTCGTATAGTCATGGCATCGCCTCGCTATCCTCCCGCCTCACCTTCACCTCCGCGCCTGGCGCTGCGCCCTCCTCCTCCTCTCACCTCCTCCTCCGCGTCGCCTCTCGCTCCTCCCGACTCCTCCTCCTCATCCTCCTCCTGAATAAAACAAGCGGCTGCCTTCCGGGGGAGCAGCGGCAGGGTCCCCCGCCCCCCTGCTCCCGTTCGCCTCTGGGAGAGGAGTGGAAGGCAGCGTCACGTGACTTGATGCGCGCGCGAAGTAGGGGAGGAGGGAGGGGGTGGGGTGAGGGGGCGAGTCAGTTCCGCATCCGCGTCGTGTGCGGAGCTTGGTAATCGAGTACCTCTAGCAGCGTCAATATCACCCTAGGATCACCACCACCCCACCGCACCCGGCACACCGCCGCCACCCAATCGCGCCAACATCCCCCCGGAGTGCAGCAGCAGCGGCAGCAGCGGCTCCACTATACACTCTGGTGCGACCCCCCCGCGCCGTGCTCCACTCGCTCAGCCGACTGACGTATACTGACGTGACTATTGCAGTGCGGCCGACTGACACTGCTGCTGCGGCCGCCGACAACGGCAGAGAAACTGACTGACACACGAGATTGCAGCAGTGTCTGTTGATGATGACCCCTCCCCCCGGGCCTAATGGATCCTCATAGTTAATGCATGTGAGTCTAGCAGGAAGGCCCGCGCTGGCACTGCTCTGTTGTGTGGACCGTCGCAATCCCCTCGCTGTCGGCCGGCGTCTCATCAAAGTATTTCCGATACATTTTCGTGTGTTTGGTTGTTGGTTTTTCCTTGGCTGTGTGGGTTGACGCATCGCGTCGATAATGCTTGTTGTTCTTGTGCCGAGGGGAGGAGGGTGAGGAGGCAGGGGGGTGGTGGGAGCGGAAGGGGGGGGTTTGTCGCGTTGTAAAACACTTGAGGGCGGCTGGAGGCCCGCCAAACTGCTCGGAGAGTGACGCGAGCTAGCTATTGCACGCGCTTTTACCAGAGACATTTCACCATCCCTTCCACCTACCCTACTTTTGTCTGTCACTAAATGCAATATTTTTATTTCCCTTTTTATTATGAATCCACAGAGTTCTGCCGTCGAAAAAAGCCTCTCTAGTGCCTTAAAGAATACTTGCCTGGGTTCGGACA